AAAACCACACCCGGGGGGTGACAGCGCTTGCTCGGCCCCTGCGCGCTCCAGGGGACCCCCGAACATGGAATTAGGGGGTGTCACCCCAAAAACCAAACCCAGGGAGGGGTCTGACACCAAAAACCCCACCCGGGACCCCAAAACCACACCCGGGACCCCAAAAACCCCACCCACGGGGGGACAGAGCCTGCTCGGCCCCCGCGCGCTCCAGGGGACCCCCGAACCTGGAACTGGGGGGTGTCACCCCAAAAATCACAGCCGGGACCCCAAAGCCACAGCCGGGACCCCAAAAACACCAACCGGAACCCCAAAACCCCAACCCGGACCCCAAAAACCACACCCGGGACCCCTCAGTTCCAGGGGCCCCCAAACCTGGAAACTGGGAGGTGCCACCCCAAAAAACACCACCCAGGACCCCAAAAATCAAACCCAGGATCCCCCCAGCTCCAAGGGAGGGGTCTGACCCCAAAAACCCCACCCGGGACCCCAAAACCACACCCGGACCCCAAAAACTCCAACCCGGACCCCAAAAACCACACCCAGGACCCTTCCCCATCTCCAGAGGGGAGTGTGACCCCAAAAACAGGACAGAGAGGGAGGAAGGGGGAGGGAATTTGGGGATTCAGGGCAGAATTTAGGGGTCCCAGGGTGGAATTTTGGGGTCCCAGGTGCTAATTTCGGGGATCCAGTTGCGAATTTTGGGGTCCCAGGCCAAAATTTTGGGGTTTTAGGTGCAAATTCTGGGGTTTTAGGTGCAAATTTTGGGGTCCCAGCTTTGAATTTTGGGGTTCCCTTTGCGAATTTTGAGTGTTCAGGGCAGAATTTTGGGGTTTTTGGTGCGAATTTTTGGGTCCCAGGTTCAAATTTTGGGTTTCTCAGGGCAGAATTTGGGGTTCAGGCTCGAATTTTGGGGTCCCCTCACTGACCATGGGTACACAGAGAGATCCGGCAGCGGCGCCTGTGACAAAAAAAGAGAAAGAAAACCCAAAATTTGGGTTCGGGGGAGCTCCAAACGACCCCCCCAAACACCCCAGACCCCAGACCCAAATTCGGGGACACCCCCAGAAAATTTTGGGGGGGTTTTTTTTGGGGTTCCCCCAAACTCACGGCCACGAAAGGTTTGACGGCGCTGCTGGGGAACCAGCCCAGCTCCCCGCTGGCCACGTTCCGACCCTGGGGGGAAATTTGGGGGTTCCAGGGGGGTCCCGAGACCCCCAAAAGGGTTGGGACGACCCCCCCAGAGCCCCCCAGGAATTTGGGGTGGGGTCCCCCCTAAATTCCGGGAGGTCTCCCCCAGATTTTGGAGGCTCTTTTGTGGTTTTTGGGATGCTTTGAGACCCTCCCAAGGATTGGGGGGGGGGGGAAATATGGGGGTTCCAGGGGGGTCCCGAGACCCCCAAAAGGGTTGGGACGACCCCCCCAGAGCCCCCCAGGAATTTGGGGTGGGGTCCCTCCTAAATTTTGGGGGGTCTTCTGTGGTTTTTGGGGTGTCTTGAGACCCTCCAGGAATTGGGGATGGGGTCCACCCCTCCCCATTTTCGGAATCCACCCCATTTCACGACCCCCCCCAATTTCAGGACCCCCCCCAATCTAAGAACCCCCTCCCCATTTCGGGGGTCCCAACCCCTAATTTGGGGGTCCCAAACCCCACTCCGGGGGTTCATCCCCATTTAAGAACCTCCCCCCCAAATTTTTGGAGTCCCCCCCATTTCAGGGGTCCCACCCCCATTTTAGGAGCCCTCCCCCATTATAGGACCCTCCCCTTATTTTCCCAATTTTTGGGGTCCCCCCCGTGTCCCCCACCTGCCACCAGAGCTCCTCGGCCTCGGCCGCTGTCACCTCGATGACGTCACCGGGGCTGAGGCGCAGGGGAGGGGCCAGGACCCCCGGAGGGGGGGGCACCCCAATGTAGGACTGGGTGCTCTCCATTTTGGGGAGTCCTGGGGGGGGGAACCCCGAGTCAGGACCCCCCACGGGACCCCCAAAAATGGATTTGGAGGGGTCAAAAACACCCCAAGAAGGATTTGGGGGGACAAAACCCCCCCGGGGACCCCAAAAATGCATTTCAGGGGGTCAAAAACCTCCAGGGACACCCCAAATTTCAACTGTGGGGGGATCAGGACCCCCAAATTTGAGCTGCGGGAGTCAAGACCCCTGAAACCCCCCAAAATCTGTCCTGGGGGGGTCATGATCCCCTAAATTTCAACTCGGGTGTCCAGGACCCCCAAATTTAAGCTGGAGGGGGTTGGGACCCCTAAAATGTGGACTGGGGGGGAGGACCCCCCAAAATCTGTCCTTGGGGGGGGGATCAGAACCCCCAAATTTGAACTGGGGGTGTCAGGATCCCCCAAAACCCTCCCCAAATCTGTTCTGGAGGGGGGTCATGACCCCCCAAATTTGGACTGAGGGGGAGATCAGGACCCCCGGTTTTGAGCTGGGGGGTCAAGACCCCCAAATTTCATCTGGGGGGGGGGTCAGGACCCCCAAATTCCTCACCCAGCTCCCCCCGTTTCTTGTCAGGTCCCGGCCGCTGCGATTTGTTCTGGAGGGGGGAGAGAGGGAAGGAGACCCCCGTGAGTGGGGAGGATTTGGGGGGGCTTGGGGGGCCTGGACCACCCCCAGAGACCCCGGGGACCCTCCCAGGGATCCCCGGGGACCCCCCCCCATAAAACCCCCCCAAAATCCGGGGGTTTTAGTTTGTCCAGAGGCGTCTCCCCCCGTTTTTGCCAGTTTTGGTACCTTCCGTGCACCCGATCCAGGATCTGGGGGAGAGAAAGTTAATTAGTGAGGGGTAATTAGGGGTTTGCTTAATTAGTGATGAGGTAATTAAATAGTGCTTTAGTTAATGAGAGGTAATTAGCTCACAATTTATTAGTGAGGGAGTAATTAGTCATTTTGTTTAATTAATAAAGGAATAATTAGCTTTTGTCTTAATTAATGTTGGAGTAATTAGTCCATCCCCTAATAATATTATGGTAATTAGCCATCCTCTAATTAATGACATGGTAATTAGCCTCCTTTAATTAATGTTGGGGTAATTAGTCCATCCTCCAATTTATTACATGCTAATTAGCCTCTCTCTTAATTGATGTTAAGTAATTAGGGCTGAGGGTAATTAGTCCATCCCCTAATTAATGATGGATTAATTGGCCCCAGCCCTAATTAACAGCTGGAAAATAGATCCACCACTAACTAATAACAGCCAATTACTCCATTCCCTAATTAATGATGGGGTAATTGGTCCCACCACTAATTAATGCAGGGACTAATTAACTCTTCTCTTAATTAATGCTTGCATTGAATTAGGTTCAGTGGGTGGCCATCATTACGGCATCCCACCTTGTCTTGCTCCATGTCGGCCATCTTGTATCCCACAATGCCCTGCTCTGTCAGCCATCTTGTATTCCATAATGCTGTGTCAGCCATCTTGTATCCCACAATGCCCTGCTCTGTCAGCCATCTTGTATCCCACCAATTACCAGCCCAATGTCAGCCATCTTGTATCCCACAATGCCCTGCTTTGGCAGCCTTCTTGTATTCTATAATGCTTAATGTCAGCCATCTTGTATCCCACAATGCCCTGTGCTGTGTCAGCCATTTTGTATCCTATGCTACTCAGTGTCAGCCATCTTGTATCCCACAATGCCTTTCCCTTCCCCATTACCCTCCTGCCCCCATTCACTGTTTCTCTCCTCTTCAATCCCATGATGCCCCTCCCCAGTCGCACGATGCCCCTCCCCAATCCCATCATGCCACTCACCAGTTACGGCCTTCCCGCAGGTCCCCACGCGCCCCAGGCACTCCTTGTGGGCGGGGGCTCGGCAGCGGCTGCAGCGATAGCCCTGGTAGAAGGTGCCCCTGGGGACACGGGGTCACGGTCACAGGGGACACCACCAGCCATGCCCCACACCCACCTGAGGCCACCCAGGACTGACCAGTCCATGACTGACCTGAGCCTGCCCAGGACTGACCAGTCCGTGACTGACCTGAGCCCACCCAGGACTGACCAGTCCATGGTTGACCTGAGCCTGTCCAGGACTGACCAGCCCAGGACTGACCAGTCCATGGTTGACCTGAGCCCACCCAGGACTGACCAGTCCATGATTGACCTGAACCCACCCAGGACTGACCAGTCCATGACTGACCTGAACCCACCCAGGACTGACCAGTCCATGGTTGACCTGAGCCTGTCCAGGACTGACCAGTCCATGATTGACCTGAACCCACCTAGGACTGACCAGTCCATGACTGACCTGAACCCACCTAGGACTGACCAGTCCATGACTGACCAGTCCATGACTGACCTGAGTTTGTCCAGGACTGACCACTCCATGACTACCTGAGCCTGTCTAGGACTGACCAGTCCATGACCTACCCAGGTTGGCCAGCACAGCCCTGGACCCACTTGTGTGCTGGCCCATGTTGGTCCCACCAGCACCAGCCCAACCAGGAGAGTCTCACCTCGGCTTTGGTCCACCCGGGGCTTGGCCCACTTTGCCCTCCAGCCAACTTTGGTCTTGACCCACCTCAGCCTTGACCTCTAACCAACCCTTGATCCACCTCGGCCTTGACCTCCACCCAACCTTGACCCACCTTGGCCTTGACCCACTTTGGCCTTGACCTCCAACCAACCATTGAGCCACGTTGACCCCTTGGCCCCACCCAACCTTGACCCACCTTGGCCTCTACTCAACATTGACCCACCTTGACTCCAACCCAACCTTGACCCACCTTGGGGCCACTCAGAGCTTGACCCCCAAGGAGCTCCTTGACCCCCCTCAGCCCTTGACCACCCTCCAAGGCTTGACCCACCTTGACCTTGACCCACTCCTTGACCTCACCACCCCCAAGGGTACAACCACCCTGACCTTCACCTTCAACCCTGGGGTCTCCTCCTCTTGCAGAGCCCCCCAAACCCCTCTCCCAACCCCCCCAGGACCATGTAGACACGATTTTGGGGTTCTACCTTAGCAACATCTGGCAGGCCTTGCAGGACGTGGTGTCCTCGAAGGAGAACATCTGGAAGTCATGTCCATCAGCCAGGGCGTGCTCGGGGAAGATGTTGGACCTGCCAGACACGGGGAGGACCTGGGTCGGGTGGGGACAAACTGGGCGTCCCCAGGACCACCCAGTGGGGCAGGTGTGACCTCCTCGGTGGGGACAGGGCCACCTACAGGGCCATCTCGAACTGCTCCAGCCACTTCTTCTTCAGCTCGTGTGTCTTGAAGAAGAGCTCGTAGTCTGGCAGCCCGGCCGTGTCCAGCAGCATGAAGGTGTGGGACCACTGTGGGGTGGGGAGGGGTCAGCCACGCCCCCCAAATAGGGTGGGGCCACGTGGCATTGGGGATACTGGGGTCACACCCCACCCTCCTGGGGTGACTGAGTGGTGGGGTGGACACCAGGGTGTACCAGGGACCGGGATCTAGGAATCCACCAAGGAATGGGGTTTTGGGGTCGACCAGGGACCAGGATCCCAGGAACCACCACGAATGGGGTTTTGGGGTCGACCAGGGACCAGGATCCCAGGAACCACCAAGAATGGGGTTCTGGGGTTCACCAGGGACCAGAATCCTGGGATCCACCAGGGAATGGGGTTTTGGGGTTCAGCAGGGACCAGGATCCTGGGATCCACCAGGGAATGGGGTTTTGGGGTTCACCAGATCTGGGCATTTGGGACCATGAGGGACCTGGATGTTGGGACCACCAGTAACCAAAATTCTGGGATCCACCAGTGGGACCACTGTGGGGTGGGGAGGGGTCAGCCACGCCCCCCAAATAGGGTGGGGCCACGTGGCATTGGGGATACTGGGGTCACACCCCACCCTCCTGGGGTGACTGAGTGGTGGGGTGGACACCAGGGTGTACCAGGGACCGGGATCTAGGAATCCACCAAGGAATGGGGTTTTGGGGTCGACCAGGGACCAGGATCCCAGGAACCACCACGAATGGGGTTTTGGAGTTCACCAGGGACCAGGATCCCAGGAACCACCAAGAATGGGGTTCTGGGGTTCACCAGGGACCAGAATCCTGGGACCCACCAGGGAATGGGGTTTTGGGGTTCACCAGATCTGGACATTTGGGACCATGAGGGACCTGGATGTTGGGACCACCAGTAACCAAAATTCTGGGATCCACCAGACCTGGACCTCTGAGGTGATTGGGAAGAGGACCTGGGCACCACCAGGATCTGGACACCTGGGACCACTTGGAACTGGACACGTGTCCACCAGTGACCAGGTTCCTGGGGTCCAAAAGACTGGACACTCATGTCCACCTCGGTCCTTTGGGAAGAGGACACTGGGACTGGAGGAACCTGGACACTGGGGTCCCCCAGGCCCAGATGTCCCCATGGTGTCCCCGGTACCTTCTTGCCATCGCGGGGTCCGAGGTCACCATCGTGCAGTTGGTGGCACTGGAGGTCCACCACGTCCTTGGTCTCGTAGGAGTCCCCGCGGCGCTTGCAGATGATCAGGGCCTTGTCCAGCAGGAAGCCGTACCTGGGGACAGTGACAAAGGTGACATCGCATCCCTGAGGCCACCGTGCTCCATGGGTGTCCCCATGGCTGCCCTGGACTGGCCTCCAAGTGTCCCTGTGTTCCCATCCTTGTGTCCTCATGGTGTCCCCAAGGGTGTCCCCATGGGAAGGTCTCTGTTTTCTCATGTTCCCCTTGGTGTCCCTGCAGTGTCCCCATGGATGTTCTCATGTCCCCATGGTGTCCCCATGTCCCTAAGATGTCCCTGTGGTGTCTCCATGGATGTCCCCATGCCCCTGAGGTGTCATTGAAGTGTTCCTGAGGTGTCTCCATGGACGTCCCCATGTCCTTGAGGTGTCTCTGAGGTGTTCCCAAGGTGCCTTAATGTCTCCAGGTGTCCCCATGTCCCTAAGATGTCCCTGTGGTGTCTCCATGGATGTCACCATGTCCCTGAGGTGTTCCTGAGGTGTCTCCATGGATGTCCCCATGTTACTGAGGTGTCCCCATGTTACTGAGGTGTCCCCATGTCCCCAAGTTGTCCCCATGTCCTCGAGGTGTCCCCGAGGTGTTCCTGAGGTGTCTCCATGGACGTCCCCATGTCCTTGAGGTGTCTCCGAGGTGCCCTAATGTCCCCAGGTGTCCCCATGTCCCTGATGAGGTGTCTCCATGGATGTCCCCATGTCCTCGAGGTGTTCCTGAGATGAACCCATGCTCCCTAAGATGTCCCTGAGGTGTCCCTGAGGTGTCTCCATGGATGTCCTCATATTCCCATGGTGTCCCATTGTCCCTGAGGTGTTCCTGAGGTGACCCCATGAATGACCCCATGTCTCTGAGATGTCCCCATGTCCCTAAGGTGTCCCCATGTCCTGAGGTGTTTCCATGGATGTCCCCATGTCCCTGAGGTGTTCCTGCGATGAACCCATGCATGTCCCCCTGTCCCTGAGGTGTTCCTGAGATGTCCCCGAGGTGTTTCTGAGGTGTCTCCATGGATGTCCCCATGTCCCTGAGGTGTTCCTGAGATGTCCCCGAGGTGTTTCTGAGGTGTCTCCCTGGACCTCCCCATGTTCCTGGGGTGTCCCCATGTCCCCGAGGTGTCCCCGAGGTGTTCCTGAGGTATCTCCATGGATGTCCCCATGTCCCTGAGGTGTCCCTGAGGTGTTCCTGAGGTGTCCCCATGTCTCTGTGGTGTCCCCATATTGCTGTGATGTCCCTGTGGTATCCCCATGGTGTCCCCAGATGTCCCCAGGTGTCCCCAGGTGTCCCCAGGTGTCCCCAGGTGTCCCCAGGTGTCCCCAGGTGTCCCCAGGTGTCCCCAGGTGTCCCCAGGTGTCCCCAGGTGTCCCCAGGTGTCCCCAGGTGTCCCTGGCCCACCTGTCCACCTTGGAGCGTCTCTCGGCGCTGGAGACCTTCAGCTCCCCGTCGATTTTGGGGCGCCCGAACTGCGCCAGGGACTGCGGCTGGGAACGGGACACGGGAACGGGATGTGGGAATGGGACACGGGAACGGGACACGGGAATGGGACAATGGGAATGGGACATGGGAATGGGATGTGGGAATGGGACAGCAGGAATGGGACACGGGAATGGGATGTGGGAATGGGACACGGGAACAGGATGTGGGAATGGGACACAGGAACAGGACACAGGAACGGGATGTGGGAATGCGACAGTGGGAATGGGACACGGGAACGTGACCTTGGGACATCAGGAACAGGATAGACATCAGGAATGGGATGGACATCAGGAATGGGATGGACATCGGGAATGGGACGTCAGGAAGGGGATGGACATCAGGAACGGGACATGGGAACGCGGTGGACATTGGGAATGGGGTGGACATCGGGAATGGGACACGGGAACGGGATGGACATTGTGACATCAGGAACAGGATATGGGAACGGGATGGACATCGGGAACGGGATGAACATCAGGAATGGGATGGACATCAGGAATGGGATGGACATCGGGAATGGGACGTCAGGAAGGGGATGGACATCAGGAACGGGACATGGGAACGCGGTGGACATTGGGAATGGGGTGGACATCGGGAATGGGACACGGGAACGGGATGGACATTGTGACATCAGGAACAGGATATGGGAACGGGATGGACATCGGGAACGGGATGAACATCAGGAATGGGATGGACATCAGGAATGGGATGGACATCGGGAATGGGACGTCAGGAAGGGGATGGACATCAGGAACGGGACATGGGAACGCGGTGGACATTGGGAATGGGGTGGACATCGGGAATGGGACACGGGAACGGGATGGACATTGTGACATCAGGAACAGGATATGGGAACGGGATGGACATCGGGAACGGGATGAACATCAGGAATGGGATGGACATCAGGAATGGGATGGACATCAGGAATGGGATGGACATCGGGAATGGGATGGACATCGGCAACAGGAAGGACATTGGGAATGGGATGGACATCAGGAACGGGATGGACATCAGAAATGGCATGGACATCAGGAATGGGATGGACATCAGGAATGGGATGGACATCAGGAATGGGATGGACATCGGCAACAGGAAGGACATTGGGAATGGGATGGACATCAGGAACGGGATGGACATCAGAAATGGCATGGACATCAGGAATGGGATGGACATCAGGAATGGGATGGACATCGGGAATGGGACGTCAGGAAGGGGATGGACATCAGGAACGGGACATGGGAACGCGGTGGACATTGGGAATGGGGTGGACATCGGGAATGGGACACGGGAACGGGATGGACATTGTGACATCAGGAACAGGATATGGGAACGGGATGGACATCGGGAACGGGACATTGGGAATGGGATGGACATCGGGAACGGGACATTGGGAATGGGGTGGATATTGGGAACGGGACACGGGAACGGGGTGAACATCAGGAATGGATCCCAGGGGGATTTGGGGGTCCGGGGGGTCCCCACCATGTTGTGCAGGCACAGCTGGATGCTCGTGAGCTGCTTCAGGGTCTCGTTGTCCCGTTTGACCTCGTTCACGCACTGGGCCAGGTCCTGGTGGGGTTTGGGGGTGCTGCAGTCAGAGACCCCCGAACCCCAAAATCCCACCCTGGAATCTCCAAATCCCCCCTGGAAACCTCAAATCTCCTCTGGAACCCCAAAATCCTCCTCTGGAACCCCAAAATTCCCCCTGGAACCCCCCAATCTCCCCCCCAAACCCCCCAACTCCCCCTCCG